TGCAGTATACGAGAAACGTTTCGGTAGATTTTCTTGTTCGCAATGTTGATGTCGTGTCACTCCTCACCTGGCCTGTTTGTATAATTTTTATGTTAATTTTTCTTCTTCAATTAATTTACTTTGGTGTCGAGCAGTTGCGAACTCCTTCGTTGTGGCTCTTTTTTTTAATAAAATCCTCTATGAACGTTTTTTTCTTTTGTTGGGAAATTTTTGTTGCTTTTAAAATAACAAAACGACCATGTAGGATTAGGACAGTTTGATCTACAATGTATAGTTCGGCTGTAGTTCTCAGGAATTGTGGCAGTTTGTTAGGGAAAATTTCTTAGAAATTACGTTTCCTTTGCCCTTAAAGGTTAAGACTTCCTATTGCTCTGTTTTAGTTTAAATCTGGTTAGAATCCGAGTACTAATTCATGAAGCGATAAACGAGCTTCTAAGCTTCAATAAAGAAACACGGACATTTTAATATTTTATATCTTTTGAATCAAATCCACGTACCGTGCCAGTGCACAACGTGCATTCGTTTTGTTACGGCTGTGGTTAATTCTCGAGAGTTTGAAAGCCACGTCTTTGCTGTTCTGAGGCTCAGTTTTTTGAGGAAATATATTTAAATAAAATTTGCTAAAGAAAAAATAATTCCTTGAAGAGAATATATGTTGTCATTGTCCACTTTTACTTGTAGGTTATCTAATTGTCTTGCTGATTTTTATCTTTTTTAACTCCCCCCTAAGAAAGATATGGGAAAGACTACATAAAAATAAAATTGCATTAAAGGTGATAGGTTAATTCTAACTACTACATCAACAGACTGTCCAACGTTTGGCTTTCGTTACTTTTAGGGGACCATCTGTCTAAAGAGAAATACAAGTAAGTGTGCAAGCAACGACTTTAAAACAGTGAAAAATAATGTCGTATGTTTGACAACAAAGAACGAATTAAGTGCAAATACTGGTCATTTGTGAATTAGCATCTTTTGGCCATATGCACAAACCATGAACCCAGTTGGGACATTTCTTTGTAAGTTTTTGGATTTTAGGCCCAGGGGTCGTATGTTTGCTGGGTATGTGCCACTGGCCTCTCAGAGTCCCTACCCCTTTATAGTCTATTTTTTGGCCAATTATAGACCCCATCTTAGTCACTTTTTGGAAAATGTAATTTTTGCAGTCCCAACTTAGTCACTTTCTATTTATGCATCTACCTTATCAATGTGGTTTCAAGTGGCGGAATGTAGTCCTGATGTTGTGTTCCAACCATACTTTGATCACGTGCTGTAATGTAGCCTGAGCGGGGTACATAGCTTAATGTATCACGATCAAGATCTCATCAAGAGCTTTCTTTTAAAAAAAATTCTGGGAAAAAATGCTTTTTCTGTGCAGACTTGTGGAGAGCAAATGTTTTTTCTATGCTAATTACTTTAATTGATCGTTGACAAGTCCTGTCATACTTGATAAGAGTGCCGCTGTTGAACCAAGCTAATCACGCAATTTGACAGAAATCGTGGTTTGCAAGTATAGTGCTCACTGTTTTTCCCTGGAGTTTGAAAGTGAATGCCTCCAAAGAAGAAAAAAGGGCTTGTCGGTTTTCGTCCTCGACTCCAAGACGAAAGAAGACGACAAAATCATTTTGTCTCCAAAGAGTGGGCTTCGAAATTAGTAGAGAGCTACAAGGGCTCCTACTACAATCAAGAAAAATGGCTAAAAGATGACAAAGCTCCTGAAAAACCAATATTGAAACGACCGGGAAATCGAGTTTCGGGAGTTCATTAGCAAGTGGAGCAAGCTTTTTAGGTCGCGAAGCAGCCAAGCGAGAGACGAAGTCATGAGAGGTCCCGCACCACATAAAAATCAGACGAAGTACTGTTTTGAAAGTCTATTGTAGCAGGAAAGAAGCTTCAAGAAAAACTCCAGGAAGCTTTTTGTTGTCGATTTTTCCAGGGAAGTGTCGAACTTTTAAAAAATGTATCAAGTAATAGTGGGCTTGGCTCAACTTGGCTTGTAAATAAATTGAAATAGATTGTTCATCTGTTGTCAGGTTTCGTTTTCAACTTTTCCTGTTGTGTCACTATTGTTGTCCCTTCTCTGGTATGCATCAACATTGACAGCTTTGGTGTTATAATCTGTTATAATCTCGTCATGGGTAATATGCCACCAAAAATCTTTTTCCACTGTTTTCTCGAACTGAAAATCGGGGCAAGTTGAGGGTACGTTTTAAACTCCAAGTCGGCAACCCGTGAACCAATTTGGCTGAAATTTGGCCAACTTACTGTCAGATAGTTTTTCTATAAAACCGTGTCTGCAAATTTTGATTTCTTTTTTTGTTTTCGAGTGAGAGTATTTTTTTCACAGGTAGTGCTAATGATTTGCTATTGCTAACTTCACCCGCTTATAACAACAGAACAAACACACTTGACAAAAATCTGAAACACAGTTTTTTAGTCAAACTTGTTAAGAAGCGAATGCATTCTTAATTGGCTTCTTCCATTACCAAGCTAATCACGCAATTTGACAGAAATCGTGGTTTGCAAGTATAGTGCTCACTGTTTTTCCCTGGAGTTTGAAAGTGAATGCCTCCAAAGAAGAAAAAAGAGCTTGTCGGTTTTCGTCCTCGACTCCAAGACGAAAGAAGACGACAAAATCATTTTGTCTCCAAAGAGTGGGCTTCGAAATTAGCAGAGAGCGACAAGGGATCCTACTACAATCAAGAAAAATGGCTAAAAGATGACAAAGCTCCTGAAAAACCAATATTGAAACGACCGCTAAATCGAGTTTCAGGAGTTCATTAGCGAGTGGAGCAAGCTTTTTAGGTCGCGAAGTGGCCAAGCGAGAGACGAAGTCATGAGAGGTCCCGCACCACATAAAAATCGGACGAAGTACTGTTTTGAAAGTCTATTGTAGCAGGAAAGAAGCTTCAAGAAAAACTCCAGGAAGCTTTTGTTGTCGATTTTTCCAGGGAAGTGTCGAACTTTTAAAAAATGTATCAAGTAATAGTGGGCTTGGCTCAACTTGGCTTGTAAATAAATTGAAATAAATTGTTCATCTGTTGTCGGGTTTCATTTTCAACTTTTCCTGTTGTGTCACTATTGTTGTCCCTTCTCTGGTATGCATCAACATTGACAGCTTTGGTGTTATAATCTGTTATAATCTCGTCATGGGTAATACGCCACCAAAAATCTTTTTCCACTGTTTTCTCGAACTGAAAATCGGGGCAAGTTGAGGGTACGTTTTAAAATCGAAGTCGGCAACCCGTGAACCAATTTGGCTGAAATTTGGCCAACTTACTGTCAGATAGTTTTTCTATAAAACCGTGTCTGCAAATTTTGATTTCTTTGTTTGTTTTCGAGTTAGAGTATTTTTTTCACAGGTAGTGCTAATGATTATTATTGCTAACTTCACCTGCTTATAACAACAGAACAAACACACTTGACAAAAATCTGAAACACAGTTTTTTAGTCAAACTTGTTAAGAAGCGAATGCATTCTTAATTGGCTTCTTCCATTCATTTTTGGCTGGACTGGACTTAAATTTACAGTGACATCCACTTTCACAAAAAGCTTCTCATTTCTAAATCGCGTTAATATGCTGATTTTTTGAAAGAAATAAGCAATAATCTGGAATTATTAAGCTTTCAGAAAATGTACGGTTTATGGGGGTATTTGTTAAAAGCAAAAGCGCTAGCGCCAGTCATTACGAGGAGGGTGCTTGAGGGTGAATGATACCTTAACCTGTAAGATAAACTGTATCCACCACTTCTCTTGTTTGTTAATAGTCATTTATCAATAGAATGAATGTCAGGACTGGTTTAAAGGACCTGCTTTCTCAACTGTGTCAAGTGTGTGTCAACTGTGTCTGAGATTTGACATGATTTATTTCATACACATTTCTGTTTGTTTAGGGCTTAATGTACAACTCTGTGTCTGAAGCCTCGCAGCTATCTTGTTAATGGAAGGCTAGGTGGAATTCTCTGTACATAACAATGAATAGTACTTATCAGAAAGTGACACAAGACCCTGATGAAAGGTAGGATATCTTGATACAAAAGAAACGGCAAGAGTTTAGGTAGCATTAAATGTACATGTACTGAAGGGCAAACAGTGAAATCAACCTTATTGCAAACAGACACAGACCATTGGATACATGTATGTTCTGTTTACAGAAGGTGGTTTGCTGATGTGAGGTTAAGAGGCCAAAATACTAGGAAAAGCCCCTTTCTTACCTTATGTAAGAGCTTATTGGTTTTTGCACATTTTCTATAGCTGTTATTTACTTTAGAATGTTTTACGCTAATTAAGTACAGTGTACATGTATTTCCTAGTGTAAACATGGCCGACAAAAAAAGTTACTCATTCATAGCAAAAAATGCTGTGATTAGGACTGTCAAATGTATGTGGATCTTGTATTTATGCCATACACAAAACAAGTTTTAAAAAAATTAATACAACCATGAATACAACAAGTTTAAAAGCATACTGTATTGTATCATATTATCTCTGATGTACTTGTGTGTGTTTTGGTGTGAATTCATCAATTTTGTCTCTATTGCATTACCCCTTTGTTATCTCGGACAAAAGACCATGTTTTGCATTGAATGGACCAACTAATTTGTGAGGCTGTTTTTGTGAGAGGAAAGAGGATGTTTTGTAGCATAAGGCCTATGGAGCTTGATGAACAACCAACGTTTTGTTGGTTTTCTTCTACATGTACAAATGAACATGAAAACATCATTGATTGATGGGTGTTTGTCTTGTAACCTGCTTCTGTGGTCGTCAGCAGTGTTATGTTGTGAGATCATGCTTTATTTGTGAACTGATTATGTCATTCTTAAAATAAGGGTTTTTAAGGAATATGTGTACTCTTGTCTGTCTCCTGGGGAATTCCAGATCCAAAACCTCCTCTATTCATGCCGTTGCAATTGCAGTTGTAAGTATCCTCCCATGCCTTGGGATTTCCAATTCAGAGAACCCCCAAGGCCCTCTGAATTCCAAAAAGCAATCCGTGGTATGGTATGGATATTCTCTGGAATCACCCATTGTTTTTCATTGCAACTGGTATCCTTTTTGTATTTTGTTTAAAGTTACAATGTATAAGTTATCTTTTGAAACATTATAGTGATGATCATCACAGATCTTTCCAACCTTACCATGATGATGATGATGGTTTTGAAGGCAACTATAGCTACAACTATGGCTACAATCCTTATCGGCCACCTTCAGGAGGAATTAAGGGAAAAGTTGAACAAAAATACTGGCACACAAAGCAAACAATGATTCAAAAGTTGGGAAAGGAGCAGGACTCATTTGTGGTTGCTGGGGACTCTGAAGTGGATGCACGTCTAGAGGTACACCTGTACACTGTCTGTAAGAAAAATAATAATGGTAACTACAGTATTACAACTGAAAGGTTACTGAGTGCAGGCGACAGCAACTGAAGGTTAAAAAACTTTTCCTGCAATGTTGTGCTTTGCGTAATTTCACATGATAGATGATCAAAACATGCATCATCAGCAAGCCTTAAGTTTTCAATTCCCTTGGAAAATAATTTTTTTGTTTCTGTGCCTGGAGATCATGGGAAACCATCTAAAACAATTTTTTTGGTTCCATGAAAATTCATGGCAACCCACCTCTTAAATTTTTTCAATTTTTGGAAATTCATATATTTTTTTCTTGGCCCTGGAAGCCATAAACTAGTGATGTTCAATGCACTTTGAAAACAATTCAAGATGGGGAACATTAGAAAGATGATAAGATGCTATATCAACATTCTTGTTTCGTATATAACCTAAGTCATCACCAAGAATTGCTCTACTAGTTTAGAATCTGAGTGGAAACTATAGATTGATCCTAAGACTGAAAATGTCACTGGGAAACTATTTTCCAGTTCTGTTATTTTAGGAACCACAGTAATGTCATGGTACCGGAAACAATCATTACTGTGAAATCCCAGGGCTTAATCAGTGAATGATAGAACGTTCAAATGTGCATGTGCAGATTGTACATTCCATTCCATTCATTTTTAGAGGAAGTCCAAACAAAGCTGAGAAAAACTGCAGAGATATTAATGTGCCATAGGCTTTCTGCATGTTGTCTCCTTGAGCACTTGCCATTGATTACACAAGTTAATTATGTGTCTTTGACAATTTTTGCAGGCCTTCAGGCATATACAGAAGACATGTATAGATATACTAAAGGCAATAGAAGTATATCAAAATAGGATATTTGGTAGGTACACATTGTTCACATGGAACGCTGTTGCGCTATCTTCATGAAAACCATTGTGTTCTGACCAGGTATTAGTATATGTATATCAGGCATGTGTATACGTATATTTGGTATTGATCCATGTAGAAGTGTACAAAATTATTTAGCAGTATATATTGCTACAGATAGGTTGTCTGGGATCCCTGTGTTAGAATGCAACAATGGAAACAAATGAAAATGATTTCTTTGTTTGTTCATTTATTTGTTGCCAGTCATGGCTGCTGCCTAAGAAAATGTTTTTGGAGCCCTTCAGGCTATCCAAGTAAAAAGTTGGGAGCCTAAGCCTCATTTCTAGGAGCCCATTGATCGATAAACTTGAAAAACTCAAAATTTATTAGGGCATGAATAGTAGCATAATTATGTAAGGTTCAACTGACATTCAAGGGCCAATCTCCTTTTTGCTGTTGGTAAATTTATTTTCCTTAACCTCGCCCGTGGTGCCAGAGGTGTTTTTTTTACCTAATTGTACTTCGAGAACAGACCTGGAACCAAGGTACCCAACCTAGTTTTAATTAGTTTACTGGAATGACCTTTAATAGGCAGTGTCTAGATTTTCTTTGCTGTAAGTAAGTTGACAGTCTCAACCAGATCCTAGAAGGTTGATTCGCGCCTCTCGAAACTCGATTCATTCAAATCTTCAGACGCCTGAGTCTCAAGTTTTGCGTTTCGAGTTTCAAGAGACCAGCAGTTTTGAATTTTTACCACTCACAAGGATTTTGAGGAAACTATTTATTTCTAAAGAAAAAAAAAAAAAACCATTTGCACATTCAGGGGTTCACACCAACTGACAGTGCTTTATACAGGTACAGTTTAGGTAAAGTTAAGTTAAAGTTTTTAAGCAATAAATTAAAAAAGGACCAACAAAAGGGTTTTTATCTTGAATTTTGGAAAATTGACACAGTGTTTTTGTATGAAGTCTTTCTGTTGAACCACAAAAAGTTTTTTTTGGTGCAAAACATCTTAAGGTATGTATTTACATCAGTGGCATGCAATGGCATAGATTGAAATAGGATTTTAAATAGCTGCAGTGAATCTTTTTTCAAAAGCTGCAATGTTTTTGCGAGCCTCTCAAAAATTACCTTAAAACGGACAACAAAAAGAAAGAACGGCATAGATAACAATGTATAAATGATGTAAGAAATCTTTGACTGTACCATCTGTAGCAAGATAGAAAATGCTAATCTTTGATCGTCGTAGATGGAGGTAAAATTTGCATAATTATGTCAAGTGTAATTTGAAACCTCTTGCTTTTTGCAAGCATCGCAACTTTGAAACATACAACAACAACCTAACAGTTCTAGAGGCAAACAAAACACCGGGAAAAGAAGGCACGTGATGATTTTGATACCGAAAGTTTTTCTAAGACTATTAAATTCATTCGAGATCATTTTCAGACAAGAAACTTTACTGTATTGCAGCGGAAGCCCCAGGAACAGAAGTTAGAGAAGCAAATTTTAAGGGTGGTGGACAAAAGACTGGTGGACTACCCTAAAATAGACTACATCACCAAAGTTTAGTGATTAGGGTAAGGAAACTGAGTGAATCAAGTTTCAGGTCAGTGTTCCAAGTATAATGACCCTAAATGGAACCTGATTCACTCAGTTTCCTAACCGTAATCACCAAACTACTCTAGGGTAGTCCATGAACTGGGGGTCAGTGTTTTGTCCACCACCAATTTCAAGACAAGTGCTTGTTTGTTTATTTTTTATCAGTGGGACTTTTTTGCCTACAGTCGATGACCACACATTTTGCATTTTCATTTCAAAAGCACAGAATGAGGAGGGAATTTTGTTGTTTGTTCATTGGAAGTTGGCATGGAAGCTATTGCCATAAGAATCATGAGTTTCAAGTGCCCATGTGGGCTCCTTGTTTAGAAGTTTAGTTGCCCGCTGGCAAATCGTAGGCACCTCCGGTGACCTGGCAGCCCTTACCCAGCAGCCTTGCCAATATTCTCTCATTACTCTTGCGCACACGTACAGTACATTAAAATTCCTTGAATTTTTGGCCTGGACAAGTGTATGAACCCTGTGAGAAGTGTGCTTTGCATGTAGGTGGCATACCCCCATAAACCTACGGATGTAAGAAAATCTGGTTATGATGTCAGGGTATGCCCATCCGTCTGTCTGTGCAAACTCTGGGAGGTAGGAAAATCTCTGAAGGAGGAGAAAGAAGTCTCAGTTTTAGGGCAAAGCAAACTAGTTTAAAGGCAACCAATGGAATTTAAAAGTGAATTTTTAAGGCTTAGTGACCCTTTTGGTCCAGGACCAATCTAGTCTCAGATTGTTTAAAATCTTGACAGGTGAATTTATGCATAAATACTAATTCAGCATGTAGAAACAGGGTTCAAAATTGCAACTCACTGGTTGCCAATGCAACTAAAGTTTGGGTGCTGGTGACTACGTTTTAAGACCTGGTCGCCAGTTGGCAAGTCATCTTCTGTTTCAATAAGATAACCTCTTGTCCTGGATCTGTAATCAATAATTATAGTAATAGTAAACTCACTAACGCTCTGCTTCATCCAGCAACTCAAAGGGGAAGCCTCACAAGGCAAGACTTAACAACGTACACATTTTGCCATATATCAGTTTGCTCCTTTTTCAATGTTAGACTTTAATGTTCTTCTTATATTCTTCTTACAATTCTCCAGAGCTGGCTAGTCCCACTGGTAAGATAGTGGTCTTGTCTTCGTACACTGTACTGTGTACCTTCGTTGCTAAATCCAATGGTGTTCCTGTTCCTGTTCACTTTTTTCTTTCACTGCCACTCATTTTCACCTTGGTGGCCACTAGCATTTCTCAATTTCTCACCATCACTACAACATTTTCATGTTTTTCTTTCAACAAAATTGGTCTCAGTTGTTTTTTTATTTCTCACTCTAGCTCTTTCTCTGTTATCCACGTTAATGTAGACATGAAAATTTAATCGAAAGAAAGGCTTGGGCTTGTTGTTTTTTTTCTCTCTAAAAGTCCGGGTGGCAATGAGATTTACTGCCAAAATGTGCCGGGTGCTTGAAATGCAAAATTTCATCCCAGCTTACATGAAGGGGTGGATGTACGTACATATGGACGATTTTGTCAGCATCAAAATTTCTTGGATGCATAGATAACTAGATTTTCTTACCCATGGTGCTTAGCTGCATGTGCTTTGTGTGCACGAGAGCTCTGCTATTACTAAATGCAGTGGTATTCTCTATGTTAATAGAGAGGAGAAGTCGTTAGGTTACATTGCCATGGTAGCAAAATTTTTGAATGACGACAAACCAAAAATTCACTTAAAAAGTAATTTTGCACTGTTTCATTTAATTTGTCAAATGTTAGCGAAATTTTCTGGATTTAATCTGAAAGGACCATATCTGAGTTTAGAAAAAGAAAAAGAAACTTTTTGTGTTGTGTTCACCTACTCTATAATGGGGGCGCGTGAAATTAGAAAGTTTCATGTCACAGTTGCGCAAAGACGGCTAAGAAAAGTACAAAAAAGTGTGCAAAGTTGTTGTTTTGCTTATCTAAACCTATCAGGTTCTTTTGCCTTTGTCGTTACTGTTGCCATCGTTGTTGCCTTATCTCAGCCTTATTGTTGCCATCCATTTATTTGGCTACCATGGTAACTCAATGTCACACTTCTCCTCTCTATTTGAAAATTGTAAAATCGACACTGTTCAAAAGATTCTTAACTGAAGTTTCAGCAATGCTGCCTTCTTCAGGGTACAAGACTAGGGTATTCTCTATGATTTGATATTTCAATTTTAGCATTGTCTCAAGATGAGAATGAAATGGGACGCTTTCTCCGAGAGCAAGGTTCACAGGATAAATCCAAGGCTGGAAAAATGATGATTGCAGTGGGCAAGGCTCAGAGTTATTCAGCTCAGCAAAGGTACATTAAGCTACACTGGACATGATTTTATTACCTTTGTTATCTTGTACTTGCTGTTATTTAACAGTTTGTTCTCTTTTATTACTTTTTACCTTCATTTTATTACACATGTATTTTCAGTCACTAATAAAGAGAATTCTCTTCAAAAGGAAACAGTGGTGCAAATAGCTAAATAAATACCAAAATAATTTATCATGATTAACAGCAGTACAGTGTAGGTTTTCAAGAAATATTATATACAGTGGAACCTCGATTTAATGAACCTCTATATAACAAAATCTACAGTATAGTGAACAATCTTCTTCAGCTGGGCTAAATTTACAACAAAATGTATGGAACAAGACCTTGATATAACAAACCTCAATTTAACGAAATCCACTTCATAACGAACACAATTAGAAATGCAAACGTAAGATAATGTACCTTGATATAATGAATAAAATTTATTCATTATATCAAGGTATATTTAATAATGTCAACATGTGACAGAAAGATAGCTAAAGATGAATGCAAAACAGACTAACAAGGATAATGTGTAACGTAGTTTTAAGCAGTTTTGTTTGCCTGTTCTTGTGTTTCTAGTGTCGTAGCTATGTACAGCTCCGAACTGAGACAGTAGTTTCATATGCAAATGTTTATTACAGAAATTGCTCAGATCCCGAAATGCTGGGCATTGGGAATTAATCATTAACTATACCTGGATATCACAAAGATTTTGCTTGTTTTCCCAAAAATTCGTTAAATCAAGGTTTTCTACATAACATACCCTGGATCTAACAAACAAAATTAATTTTCCCAGTCCCTTGGCCTTTTGTTATATCAAGGTTCCACTGTATCTAGAATGTTTTATAATCAAGTGAAAGGGTGCCACTTGCTATAAGAGTCAAAAGCAAAAATTTGTCTTGCTAGACAAGGTCCATTGGTAAAATGTACATGGCTAATTTCGTAAGTTTCACTAGTGCATATAAGTAGTTGGTAATTGATTACACAACAGGGACCTTTAGATTGTAAGACAATTAGGACAACCATATAAGAACAAATTGCTCTCAATTCTAAGTAGTGTGCACACATGAATCAGTGTGATTTTGGCATTAAACCATGATTCTAGTATGGATTTAAGCTTTTTTTAGTTTTAAAATGTTATTGTGTCTGAAACAAGTTACCAAATGTTAGTCTTATCATTTTTCAATCTACATTGTACTGAGGGCAAGCTTAACTTCCATCAATAAAAGTAACTGTGTTTTCACCTTTCTGTTGAAGGAAATGAAGCTTTCCAGGGTGTCTATTTTTTTTTTGACAATATGTGAAAAAAAGTCGTGAAGTCGAATCTCATTCTCAGAGTCATACTGGTCCTTGAATCTAACAGTTTCTAATAATGAAAGAAGGACAACAGCCAAAAGAAATCTCTGTTAGCTAAAAACGTGTACAGTCATCTCTCTCTAAGACAGACACCTTTGGGCCCAGCACTAAGTTTCCATCTTAGAGAGGTGGCCATTACTCAACTAACTCCAATTTTGCTCTCTGAATAGGTTAAGCCTAAGAACCCCACTAGTGCGACTGTACCAGGAAGTTGAAACATTTCGATTTCGTGCCATCTCAGACACAATTCAAACTGTTACCCGTATGGAGCAAGCAAGAACAGACTACAGAGCAGCGCTCCTATGGATGGCAAACTTATCTAAAGAATTGGATCCAGAAGAGTATAAGAGATTAGATAAATTTAGAGAGGTCAGTTGCTGAAGTCAGCCTTTTCTTGTCATAAATACTGTTGGATACATCTAGTTGATGACATTAATCAATCAGGCTAATTATCTACATGCATACTACACTATCCACTAGCCTGATAGCAAGCATTTCCATGCTTGTTCTTTACAAAAATCAAAAGAAAGACGTTCAAAAGTGACAGTCCCTTTATCTTTTACCGTTTAGCTTTCTCTCTTATTTTGCTTCTGTGACAAATTTATAATGTTGATGCTGACTCAGGGTTGTCACTAAAATTTCAAGTTGCCGGCTAAATACAAAAAGTAGGCGAGGAATAAAACAGTTAGGGGTTTCTTTTGGTTTTATTTTTCTACTATTTTCCTTTGAAAGTAGCCAGGGGCCACTTTCGTAGTAGCATCTCTTTATGATATCTTCTGGCTAAACATTGGAAATAAAGTTTTGGTTTCAATGCACCGGTTTGAGATGCAAATTAAACCTTAGAAACCCACACATTTCATTGTAATCTCTCACAGAAGCTTAAAGAAAAAAATGATCTCCTTGTTCAGTTTTCCTATTCAGAGCAAGCCTTGTGAGGGCTGACATTTCCAGTTGTGTTTTACTGTCATCAGTTAAACTAATTGGTGGCACCTCATTTTCCAGCCAATTGTATTTCTCTTTGTGTTTGAAAAGGGGAACTGTCTGATAATTTCTTAAGTTATCGTAGCAAGCTCTGATAACCCTGATGGCCTTGCTGGTTGCCCAGGTTTTCTTTTGCAGATCACTTTGCTCGCCCCTAAAAATGGAATACATGCTTGCAGGGTAACAGACAATGCATTTAACAAGATGTACACAAGTAGAAAATTGCATCAATGCTTTCCTTAATCACCTTATTTCTGGTATTCAGGTTCAGAGTCAAGTCAGAAGGGGTAAAAAGAAATTTGAAAAGCTGAAAATTGATGTCATGCAAAAGATAGATCTTCTGTCAGCAAGTAGATGTAATTTACTTTCAAGCACTCTTGCAGCATATCAGCAGGCCCTGCTCAAGTTTTGGGAAAATACTTCACGAACTATGACCCAAGTTTCTGAACAGTTTAAAGGATTACCAACATACCAGTTTCAGATGTTAAAAAGCCTCAACCCTTTGGCCATTGAAAGTGGGGATAAAGAAAAGGAAGAAGAGGGAAAAGAGGCGAACCCTGGCAAAGAATCAGAGGAAAGCAATGTAGATTCAACAAATGGTGTTACAAAACAAACTGTTAGTGAGGATGATGATGATCAGTTAATATCTTTGGATCATTCACCTTTAGAAGAGAAAATAATGGAGGCAAGACCTAGTCAGGAAGCTGACACAAATGGTGACAAATCGCTAATAGAGACGGATTTCCTTGGAGATGATGAAGCACCAAATGGGAGTGAGGAGTCAAGCACCTGTATTGATTTGCTTGGTGATGATGACTTTCTCTCGCAAAAACAACAGTCAAGTAATGCTGAGTAGTTTCTTGCCAATCTTTTTAGATTGTATTATTTTACCATCATCCACTGCTATACACTGCCTTAGAAAATCACTTTAAACAAGTGTTGCATTAACCAAACAATACCAGCAGCACTGCAACCATATCTGGAAGCCAGGTGATGGGGGAGTACTTTGCATTTACACAAAATATTTGTGTTCCCTCTATTCAACTACTACCCGTTAAAATATAAACAGAAATATACGTTCTCGTGGTGTAAAGTAACATTGTCAAATTCACATTCTCTTAAAAGGTACATGTATTCATAGGCAAGAAAGACAGAAGAAGAAGACAGAATAGACAGATTTTGGTTCTATAATGAAGCTAGTTTGCATATACGGTGCTTACGTGTATGTCCTTTGGTGCAATCGTAGCAACCCTAAGGAAACCTAAGTTTACTCAGTAACTTTCTGCTCTAATTCAACACAATTGCATCAGGTGATATCATTACTTTTAAAAAAATAATGATGAACATACTGTTCATTAAAAATTGCATTATGTTAACTTCATAGACTACAGTTTTCTCTACCAAGGGATAGTACCCCGGGTGGTTGTGATATCTTTGTACTAACATTCCTGTTTATTGTACACAGCCACAAATGATCTACTTTCATCATTTGAGAGTTCCTCAAGAAGCAATGGTCATACTGGAACTTCACTTATGCCACCCAGCTATGAAGCAGCAACGAAAATCCCTACAGCAGGTAAGATGGCTGGATATTGGCCAAGTTCATTTTGTTTGTGTGTGTACTTTTATGGACTAATATAAATAGGACGTTTAAAAAAAAACAATGGAATGCAGCCGGTATTCTTCCATCTTGGTCAGTAAGGGATTTATCTCGTGGCCTTAGAAACAAATGTTTTCTTGTGGGAACAAAGAGGGAAATCCCGAAAGAGCATGGTGGGGCTATTTTGCCTTTTTCGGCAAAATAGGAGCCAAACGGAGCCAAAGTGTCAGAAATGAGGTTATCATTAATTTTTTTGCCACAGAAAGTTCTTAGAATGGAATGTCCACTACTCACCACTTGTTCAAGTCATAAAAATCTAAGACTTCAGTGGTACAAGTCGTTAAGTTGTGCGATTGGTTCAAGTAGTGAATGTGATACGTTTGAGTGAAATGAACCGAGGTACATTGGCTGCATCTGATTAGACAAGTGTAGAGAGGGGTTCTTGTCAAGTGGTGCGACTCGTACGCGACTTGTATGAGTCGTAGTGGTGAAATAGCATCTCATTAGAGACACTAGAAATGGAGAGCAGAGTTGTCGAACTATAAGCATCCTACACGACAAACGTTTGATGTATGAAACTGCAAAATGGCTCAAAATATACGATCACACAAAAAGTCTAGTTAGCAAATGAACAAGAACGTATGCACCAGAATATCCCTCGTTCTATAACTAATGATTACCCCAAACGATAAAATTCCAATGCATAACTCCTAAGAGTCGTATCACTAACAGGGCCCATTCACGACAACTTTGCTCACAAAATAAATACTTCTCAGTTTCGCTAATGAGATGCAATTTCACCAGTTTCACGACTCGTACCAGTCGAAACACTTGACAGGGTCCCCTCTCAACAACTTTGCTCACAACAAGTTCTATTAAACAGACCCTATTTTATCCTCAAGACTTTGTAATTGTAGGCTTCATGTAAGCACCTAGTACATTTCAGACCACAGTTACAGCTGAAGTAGTTTGAAGTTTACATTAATTTTTGTTAAGTGTATTCACTTTCCTCGCTTTCTTCAACAGAGATTCGTAATCACTGGTTTTATATTGGATAACACCAATAATTATTATTAGAGCTTTTCATTTACCTTTTGTAGTTTATACGAGGGTTGTCCAATACTCACTACCTGTTCAAGTCATGAAAGTTCGTGTTGTTTCAATTTGTAGCAAGGTTGCTTTTAATCACCTTTTAAGCCATAACTTTTAGTAGCTAACACATAGGCCTTAATGTATATGTACTGAACCTAAAAGATTAACTGAATTGATTGCCTTTTTTTGTCTATCCAGGTGTTGACCATCCTTCGTCGATGACAGCTGATGACTTGTTGTTTGGCTCCCCTACCAGGGAGGATAGGGGAACAGAAGACAAGTCAGACCTGGATATCTTAAACGAGATCCTTGGTGCCACTGGAGGGTCTGGCGGACAGGGCACTGCAGAAAGTGATAACAGCTTCAGTAAAACATGGAAGGACATGTTTGGGGATGAGCCTCTTGAAAGTACACGACAACCACAGGAGCCCAGCCAGTCATGGTCACAAGGAGGGACTAATTTCATGATGCCATCTGATCTTCTTAATAGCATGGCTAATTTTGATCCATTTAGTCAGTTGCCTGCCTCAACTCAGCCAGGCACTAGTCAAGCGCCAACCACGTTAGATCTCCTCAAACAGCCTCAGCTCCCCAAGAATCTGTGGCAGGGTAATCAAGTAACTTCAGAGTCAAAGCAGATACCTTCACTGCCAGGGAAGAGTAAGGAGAAGAGCAAAGGGAAAAAGGGCTCAGATATGTCTGCTTGGTTCAGTCTGTTTTCTGATCTTGATCCTTTGGCCAATCCCGATGCCATTGACCAACAGAACAAGAAAAGTGAAGAGGATAGACAATGCTGAATAAGGAATTACTCTTTAAAGAGTTACCAATTGAAAATTGTTAAGAATATCAAATTGTTCCACGAATTCATTGAAAAAGAACAATGTGGTCCACGAGAGGGGTTGAAGCTGAGTTTATGGAAATCTAGTGGCACCTACTAAATTCACATATATATATATTTTTTTTTTTCAAATCTGCTCATCTCATGCATCCTTTAATAACGACAAGTCTACATTAGGCATCATCATGTTATATTGTGGGGCAGGTCTGGCTACTTCTTTATTGTGGGTAGCTCTTTCTCACTATATACATCTTGCCACTTGGGGCATATTCCCTTTAGCGTGATTCTACCGTTAAGTAACTTTCGTTTTTGTTGCCAGAATGTAAGGGTTTCAAAAACTACAAGTACATTTATTATTTGGCTGAATCCTCGAGCGGCTAAGATATGCCTATCTTCTCCACTCGGGATTTTCCGCGTTGCTCCCGCCTGAAAACATTCTCTGTTTAGCCATATAATAAATCCTTTATTGGCCAAGTTTGTTCGGTCAATGTGGCTGTATATTGGCCAAGTTTTTTTTGGCCTTGTGTCTCGAATACGATCATCGAGATCGTTCAGATCGGTTAACCTCTTTTCACAAATCAGGAATGGAATTCAAGCTTAACTTAATGGCATTTCTGTGTTGTAGTCTGTAGAGTGTTGTTTGTCATTGGTCGTATCGACTTTCGTCCGGGCGAAACGCCTTTGGGCGAATCGACCACAAGTCTCGGTTAATGAAAGCATACTTATAAAAAATGGCCAATATACAGCCATCTTGTCCTCTCGCTTGGTCAATAACGCATATATATTTCAAGGTTGCCTTTATGGACTCAAAAGTTGCAACAGAATTGTAGTTTGCATTGTAAAAGTAAAATGGTAAAATTATCTTGGAGAACTTCGCCTTTTTGGCGGGGGGTGGGGGGATGGCTTAACGCCTTGCATTGTGTAAGAATTTATTTTACCTTATGATAGGATATTGGGATAAACCTGTCTATGATGTTCAATGGTTTTAAGGTAGCAGCTGAATGTTAGGGCGCTGTCCATTTGTCAAAACTGGCCAACCGAACCAGTTATTTTGACAATGAAATCGGCTTTTTCCAAGGGTTTTTGTTGAAGAACCATCTCCTTCATACACACTATTTGGGATTTGACTGATTTAGCGGGATAGTTTTGATTAATAGTGAAATTCTCATTACGAAAGGGAAGGGTCTGGCCGGTCAGTTCTGACAAATGGAAAGCGCCCCCTTAGATTCACTTAAGGTAAGCCGTAGGTGTAGTTACGTTCAGTGTATATCAACAGGGTGTAAATTGCTATGGCCGTTATTTTAAGTTATTTAGGAATAAATTATTGCAGAGTTGTTTATAAATTCTGTTTCAGAAACACAGGATGTTGAGAAAATTTGAAAGCAGTTGAATGTTCTGGTTTTAGAACACCATGCTTCCTTTACATACACACAAGAACGTCCATGTAACAAACCTTTACATAACCATAGTTATTAAAGGAGACGAATCGAATCGAATCTATCAACTATGATATAACGAACGACATTCTTCGCCCCCTGTTTCAGTAATATAAATTATATGGGAACGACCCTCAATGTAACGCAACCTAGAGAATATATTTGGCAGTTCCTTGTCGTAAGATGGTTCGTTTGTTCGCAGGCGTCATAAATTACACTTTCTTTGAAATTGCGATAAAATTGACTTTAAACCGGAATGTTAACCTGTCTAGAATTTTTTTTGTGTGCTACGCGCATTTAAATTCATTTGAATGGGGAGCCACCTACGTAGCCGTTCTTTGTGTCGTTGCGTAACCCTGTTCTCTACGGAGCGTGACGTCGCCCATTATTATGTCTTATGTGATGAAATAAGATTATACCTGAACTAAGGCTTATGTGTTAAACATGAGAATGCTGCTATAAGAGGGGACAGACGGCAAATTATACACACTGTTAATCATCAGTAGGTGCTTAAATGGTTTTGGCTCCATAAAATCCTACAACAATTGCGGTACGTTTTTAGGGGAGCCACCCACAATGTGAGCAGAGTTACTGACAGGGTATTTGAGGCCAAGGCCAAACATCGAACTTTCCATGAGACGAACTAAACTGGGCAGATTAAGTTCATGACAAATTCGACGTCTGTCTCCGTTGATTTCGTCTGAATCAGAGTTTGCTTCGACATTTGCGTTGTATCCGTCTGCTCAGATTCTGATTGGTTCGACGCTGCATAAGTTCGACGTCTGACCCAACAGACGAACTTTAAAATTAAGGTCTACCCAAATTACAATTTGGTTCCTCTCATGAAAAGTTCGACTTTTAGCGTTGGCCTGAGTTAGAAAAACAACGCAGAGTAAGTCAAAAAAAGATCCATTGAATATGGAACGAAACGAACCGCTAATGATTTAAGCACGCGCCCATAACGTTGATGAAAGTGCAGTTAATGCGTTCAGTTTCATCCATTATTTAGGTTACAAACTATTGTAGGACTCCAAAAGGACTTGTTAATGAGGACACTTGTAAATGTTTCAGTACTTGATGAACTTTATTATTTTGTTTAACTTATGTTTCTTACCGAAGAATTAAGGGTCATTGTTATCAGTCTAATTTAAATAAACAAATGCAAAGTATTGATTGCTTCTGTCTTAACATACGTATCCTAGAATTTACTCTTTACCCCTAAAAAAGCCTGATAATTGATAGGCCACTGCTACCGTCAAACTCAGAAAACTGTGAACACCTGAAAAAATTCAGGAATGTTGATTTATGTACTGGCCAATCACAATAAAGTTCAGGATGCGCATGCAAACCTCAAATCCACAAACTAATCAGTTGCCGTTGCTGTTTGCGGTTTAAGGGGTGTTTACATGACAACGCGGCGTCTTTCGCGCCGGAGCGAGTTCACTCCGGTTCCCTCTCATGGCTCTACATTTGTTTACATGATATCATCACAAAATGTCATGCCAGGAGGAGTCACCCTGGCTTGGGTTCACCCCGGTTCTTGTACCGGGGCAAGAATTTCACTCCGGTACGAAATCTCGCAACGGTATCAAGTTAACGCGAAACGACCACACGTTTTGCGCGGTTAATCGGTGTGCCGGTAGACTGGAATGGGTAGCGCGTGCGTAATGTTTGCGATTTGGAATCTTTCGTGTATTTTATCAACATGAAGTGTACCTCTAAGTAACTAGTTTGCGTATTTGGCGGTACTGTGTAGTAGTCGAGTGAGATTTGGCGGCGGAGCCGTTGCAATGTAGTCGACCGCCTCGTCCCTACTCCCTTTTTTTGGAACACGGCTCCGCCGCCAAAACTTTAATCACGCACCCACACAATACCGCCAGTTACGCAGGCTACTAAGTAACGAGATATGAAATGACCCAGTCATCATGTAAACACGATACGAAATTAAAAAAAGTCATCCCGGTATGAAACTCGCGCCGGTGCGAGTTTTCTCATGTAAACACCCCCTTAGTTATCTCGCACCTTATTGGCTCATTTCTCCCAACACAATAACATTCCATAAAGATTTCTGGTGTTCACGGTTTTGTGAGTTTCACGGTAAGGGGGGTTACGCGCAATGGGATTTACATGTCACGACACTCCATAGCCCCTGAGCATTGCCGCGGTCAATCGACGAGTCGGCGAGGGAGACTGGGGAAGAAATTTGAATTCGCTTTCATCGGACTGAAAGACGCGTAAATCTGGAGACATTTCGTTGTAGCCTGTACATGATACCATATCGTCGTTCGTAGACTGTGAGCTATTATTATTATTATTAGTAGTAGTAGTAGTAGCAGTAGTGTTGTTAATATTATTGTTATAAATATAGATTTATTCCTTGTCAGGCGAAAGTGGACAAGGAACATGTGATGCATATTTTACCTTTTTTTCTATAAAGGAGACTTACCTTTGATGTATTCTGTTCGTGTGAATTCACACCAAAAAACACAGGAATACATCAAACGTAAGTATCCTTTTATTTATGATATAGAAAAAATGTTATGATATAATGATATCTAGCGTACACAGACCTCAGTATTTTATTTCTGGGGATCATTTCTCATACAAAGTTTCAACGGTCGCCTGTAACGCGGGACCAACTCTATTGTGAGAAAGTAAAAGTAAATTTACCTTCCACACTCGTGACGTGGGCTTGGGACGCACGTGATGATCACTCATCAGTGCAATAAAATCAACTGTTTTAAGTGATCCAATATACTTGCTTAAATAAATAACGCGTAGAAACCAGAGAAACGCGGAGTACCTGTTAAGGGCGGAAGTAAAGCATCATTCCGCTTCTCGAAAATGAAATCCTTTTGTCTTACATGACGCCCTTGTACCGAACCGGATATTGATTAAATTGTTAAGTTGTTTCGTCTGCAATGATAATAACTATGAATCACCACCAGTTGAGCTAGGAAGCAGACAAACTTAGAACTAACTCAGCGACCAACATTGAATATTGTGCTACACATAAGAGAGAATTAAGCCCGTACCAAACAATGATTTTTGGTCTCCTAATTGTAACCAGGCAAGGGTATACAAAACTTCTCGCTTATATCGCCTGTTTTTGCACGCTTTAAAATTTCTGTTTTGAAACCTTTTACACAATCCGACAAAAGTGCATGTGGGCGGAAAATTTAAGCCTGATCTCACAGCTATGTTAAGCATGTTGTGGGAGGCAAACAAGCGCGTCACTGGCACTGCGGAAAACGCACGCACACGATGTGAAGGTGAAGGCCCATCTTAGTTTAATAAGCGATGATCACATTCATGACATGCATTTCCAAATTAGATGCGCAAATGATTCAGGGAATGTTGCCATTTTACTTTCATGAACTTCCCACGCTTTTCCAAGAAAGAAAGGACGACTAAATCAAGGAAATATAAGAAAGAGCATAAGTTCATAAAGCGTAATTTTAGCAAGGTTTAACCAATAGTTTACTCCAGGTTGACTGACGCACGTGGAGTTCTGAACGAGATGGAGAGAAATGTATTAATTTGCAAAGCCCTGCTTCTGATTTTCCTCACCAGTGTGTCGGCTGCTATGGTGATCAATCCAGAAAGTAAGTAACAGACATCTTTTGAAAAAACTTGCTCCTTACTGGTCCTTCCATATGGCCGGATGCTTGAACAAAATTGCAGTATTCAATTTATAATGAGAAAATATAATGAGAAAGAGGAAAAAAGGAAGATATATAATGTACGCAATTAAGAAGGCAATTTATTGTATTGGTTTAAAAAGTAAGAATTTTTTTTCCAAAAAGACCGAAGAAGACGAAGCTGAAGTACTCTTAACATCAGCAGGCAAAGAGTTCAATATTTAAGGACCTGGTGTGGTACTCATGTGAATCACTACTTTGAGGGTGCCAATGGGTCTACTTTACGGAACGTTGGGTGGAAAGACGAAGGAACGGAGAGGAAAGAAGTCCGTGAGAACAAGAAAACAGATTTGGCAATATGAAAAGTATTAATTTTGTTGATAGTGAGTAAGTTAAGGTGAGCGAAGAGGGAGGCAGAGTGAGCTCGGAAGGGAGCTTTACTGATGGCACGCACCACGCTTTTTTGGATAAAACATGAAGTTGAAGACTAGGTAATGAGAGATCAAGGAATAATAAAGTTTTGGTTGGAAGGTAGAAGCGATAACGAAAAATCAATATTCAACGATATTTTCAGTACACAGTCACAATTTAAATGAAACATTGAATTAACACCATAACATTACAGTGATCGAGTGATCTCTAAGGTTTCTGTCAACAGCTTTGTACGATGATATAGGAAAATGATACGTACTGATGATGATATATTAGTGACTGAACCTACGCCTTTGACTCCTATGCAAGTTACCGAAGCTGTAAAGGCAATAACAGATTTTGCAATTACGTTGGAAGATTCAGGCGAACGAGAGAGAGAATTTCTTTCCTATCTTTCGGCCATGGAGGACGCGTGTAAGCTTTGAAAACTTCCAGTGCTGTGCTAACTGTTCAAGGACATTGCTGCATGATTGAAATGCTACATTTGTGGATCATTTGATCACAAATTTAATTAAATAGTATACAATAAAAATTGATGTTAGGTTTACCCCCGATATAACGATATTTTCGTTTTTTTTTTTTGGCCATGAGTTTCGATATGTTGATTCCGCGATTAGGCCCGATTACGAGCCGCTGTTTGGGAAAATGAGCCCGAAATCGAGCCTATTCCTCGATATAGCGATATAATTTTATTGTTCCTTAGCATACCGTTATATCAGGGTTCCACTGTAGTTGAATTAAACGATAAACATCAGGATACGAGCAAAATATTCTGGTGTCGTCCTCAAATAATAACGTTTCAGCTAAGGGGAAACATTTAGAACATATTTTGATATAAACCAAGGAAAAAAGCTTTCTCTAGATCGATCCTTGAGTGAATGTGAATGAATGTCTTTATTAGTTTTCCACTAAATGGGTTTTAAAACTAATTACAATCAATACTAAATACATTAAAATTAAAAATCTAAAATTCTAATAGATGTTAAAATATATCACATTACTAATTAAAAACTACTGAGAAATTCCTTTAAATGTCTCTTGAAGATTGGCAAATTATCACATCCTCTTACTTCTTATATTTTGGAAGAGAATTCCAGAAACTCGTTGCACGGTATAAAAATGTGCGTTGCCCAGAAGCTGACTTATAAGCTGGGATATTCAAGTTATTCTTACATCTAGTATTACGGTCATGAACGCAACCACGTGTCTTAAATCTATGACAAACGTAGCTAGGGGCTAACCCCTTAACACATTTAAATGCTAAAACTCCAAGTGTATATTTAAGAAAACTGGTCACGGGGAGCCACCTTAGCTCTCTTAATGCCGGTGTTATATGATCAAAATTCCGCTTTCCAGTGATAATTCTACAAGCAAAATTCTGAACTTTCTGCAGCTTCGAGATATTTTTCTTTGAAGTATTAGACCACACCGGAGAACAGTAGTATAACTGGCTAAACACTAAGGAATTTATAACCCGTTCTAATGTCCTAGCATCAAACAGATCCTTTACCCTGTTAATCTGACATAAGCTACCTATGCACGAGGACACTGTTTGGGTGACATGTTCATCATAGCTTAGAGTGCTGTCCACCTGCAGGCCAAGGTCCCGAGCAGAAGGAGATGGAGTGACCTTCTTTCCAAGGAGGGTGACATGAAAATCAGCGGGCAGCCTCTGAAGCATCTGACGTGTGCCCAACACCAGCAGCTTGGTTTTCTCTGGGTTTATGAGAAGGCTGTTGTAGCAGCACCAGCTTGCGATTTTTTCTAAGTCCTTATTGATCTGTTGAATCATATTGCTAGCCTCAGCAACTGGGAACGAAAGGTATAGCTTTGAATCATCGACATGTGATTCTAGAGAACACACGTCCGGCACGCCAGACTTGACGATCTGGTAAGAAGAAAGTTTACTTTTATCCTTAAAATCCATTTGAGGGAAGTTCCTCCCATCCCACGAAAGCTGATGAAATTGCGTATCTAAAAAACACAGTTTGTGATCTCGCTACCATCAATGCAACATGCTTTCCGTTAATTAGGTGGATAAGTGTCTGGCAAGCCTGCGGAGCTGAAAGCGCGAAACCAACGGAAAGGATTGCTGCCTAGTGCACGGTTGGTGGAATGATTTTTGCGAAAGCCGAACCGTGAAGACAATAAAAGGCTTTCAAAGGTGTCTATGCCCTGATATCCCCTTCGTGATGCCACTTGTGTAGGATTTTATGTTCTTTCCTTGTCCATTTCAGAAAAAATTTCAAATCTGCCGTTCATCGAAAGCTTTGGTCTTCAAGGAAAAATCATACCCTACATTGGAAGTAAAGTTAATCTGACTTGCAAAATGAAACATGCGGAGGCGGGTATTTTCCTCAAGGCAGGACTCGCTATAAGGGAGGGAGGACGATTCAGGTACATATTTGAAGACAGTGGGCATGATGGGCTTGTGGCTCATCTTGAAATTACAGATGTCTCCAAGGAAGATGAAGGTGTTTTTACTTGCTGTGCTTTTAGTGCTGGAATTATAACTACGAAAACGCTTACATTTAAAACAGGTTTGTACGTCCGCTGCCTAAGTCGATAAGAGTACTTTTTTAAAATATGCATTCAGTTATACTTTTGCAGCAGCTCACATTCGATATACCGTTAAGTTCCCAAAGTAGCGAACCTCTAAAAGTAGAGATAAAATGTCACAGGTGCTAGCAAGTCTCGAAAGTAGCGATCCCCGAAAACAACGACCCTCCGAAAAAAGAGGCCTTAAAACTTATTTCCCTTTTATAATATAATGGACATGATAGATATCCTGAATAAACGCTACACTGATCCGAGGTTTATTAATAATGATTATTTAACATTCCTGACCTTTTTTCAAAAAGTATTCCTTTCACATTTTTTGCGATTTTATTTCTTGAAGTGACCATGTGGAGTACACGTTTTAGCCATCCGAAAGAAACGACCCCCTGAAAGTAGCGAAAGCAGAAGGGTGCTAAATCCAACAGTAACGATGGTCGTTACTTTCAGGACTTAACGGTTTTAGAATTTTAATTTGACTCCGAGGCTTTAGTGAACGAAAATCGAAAATTTTCACGACTCCATTGTCTCACAATCCCCAGAAGAGACTTGAGCACAAAGAAAACCAAACAATATGCAGAAATGACCAGAAAGCCTCGGAGTAAATTACCGTGAAATGATCAATTACCTTATTCAAGTAAAAGTGAATTAATGAATCCTATTCTAGTTTAGAGGGTATGCACTAAAATCAGCCTCGAAGAAGACAAAAGCACATAAAAGCTAACTTAAATGTGCATATTCTTTTGCATCTCCTTCAGTGGCCGCTAGATCAATTATTTTTTTATCTTTTAGGGTCTCTGAAAAGTCATATTGCTCACTATAAATATAATCATTTTCCTTTCCTTTACAAAGTCATTAATGCAACAGCACCCCATATACAAAATAGAATAAAATAAACCAGCTATGGGATACGACCCAATCCTGACTACCTCCATGTTTTTATGGCTTACTTGCTTACACGCTATGATTCAATTTGTCTTTTGCCAGGGCAGTAAAACAGTTTTCGAGAACTTGCCTTTGCTCCAAAAATTTCGCTTGAAAACTGATACCCCTCTCATGCATCACTTCGTTTCGATATTGGATTTTGTGTGCGAGGCATGGGCTAGGCATTCCAAAGACCTGTAGTCCCGGGCCTACAAATGTTTGGTTTGATCACTCTACCGCTTGCAATAATTTATGCGTTGTTGGGGTGAGCTAAGAAGCTTAAGAGGTCAAAGTGTTGGTGAGGTCAGACTAGTCATGCGTGCAGTTTTCAGGATATGTGGAAATGAAATTTAGCCAGGCCTACAAACAGTCGAAAAGCTGGCTACGTCCCTGCGAGGTATCCCCTTCTCAAATAATGAATTTTCCTCAAGCTGCGCGTCTGACTCCCACACCCTCACATATTTGACGTTTTTTATCTTTTATAGCTCCTTATCCTCCAGCCTCGATCTGAAGCCCTGTCGTGGACAGCAAAGGACTGTTGCAATTTCCATGAGTAAGTCTAAGATTATAGCAAAGAGAAAAACTTAGGGTATAACATGACTGAAGATTAGAGCGAATTGAATTTTTCTGTCCAGTTTTGGTTTCCGCTGTGAGGTGAGGGATATTGAGAAGAAAGAAACGTTTTATTCTTTTTAGCTTCTATAATTCTCGCGTTGTTGTATTAAATTATTCGAAGCTTTTTCACGTTCCCTAATAAACTTTGTGCATGTGGTGAACTGACAAGCAGGATTAGGCCTTCACCGTCCTCACAGAGCGTTCCGGTTTGTTTCGGCGTGAGTGGTTCTTCTAGGAGCAGGAGTAAAAGACCTCAGCCGACATTGCTGTAGGGGTCAAGGAGACGCACAAACCACCCCTACCAAGAAAAGGTGGTGATCCCATCAAAGGCGGATGTGTTTAAACTTAAAGCTTGTCTATATTTCTACTGTTACTTATTGTAATTTCATAACTTGTTTTGTACGTTGTTACCAAATTATTATATTGGTCCTGGTTGTTTAAATTGTATTGTTATTACTACTATAATCATAACTATAACAAAATTCTCAAATCTGATTGGTTCTCAACTGCCCTGATTTCAGCCTTAATAGGACAGTTTAATAGGACAGTACGCGTCATGCCTAAGTAATTGGACAGTACGCGCCATCACGGGCGCGCTTAAATGGCTTTTTTTTCATAGCTAGCGAAAAAATCTTGGAATTTCTTGTGTTTTGATTTAAAAAGAGCCCTATATATCACAAATTTTGTTAAAGTTATGATTAATTGGTAACAGAACTTTGTGTCGTCCAATTCGGTCTGTAATCATACTCGTGATTAAACAAATCGGACTCCCGCTACGCGGTCGTCCGATTTTGTTAATCACTCGTATGATTACAGACCGAATTGGACTCCACTCAGTCCTGTTACCATTACTTATTATTGTTGTTGTTGATGATGATGTTGTTGTTTTTGTTGTTATTATTAAGGGGTTGCAATTGGGAGCTAGAAAATTTTCTTAATAGGCCAAAAGTTTCTTGATAGGCTGGAGTAGCCTACAAAAATAAGGCATTTGAAAGAAGAGCCCATAATCACTCTCTCCTGACCTGAATTGATGTTTAAAATAAGGAAAGCATGGTACAATTATATACGGTTTGTTGAACAGAGTTTGGGCTTTCCTATGCGCATGTCTTCCAGTGACAGGAGCCCATAACATGGCCCCTTCTTCGATTCGCTTTCTTTGATTTTCACCAAAAGTAGCCGGGCTATAGTCATCTAAACATGAAGCTTTTTCTTTAAGTCTCCTTAAGTGGCAAGAAAACGAGAAAATGAGGAAAAGGGGACGCCTAATAAGGGAGGAAAAAACCGTCCACCCTTTTTGCCAGATTGGGGGAGGGTAAAGTTCACGCCCTCATCTCGCATCAAGGGAGAATTAACTACTTTTTCTCTTTCATCTTTAGGAAGCACTTTCATTATGAATAGACACAGCATAAAGAGGATTACTATAAAGCAATTTATGTATTATTTCGACTTTCTTGTCTTCGTTTTTCTTTTTTCTGTTTAACTTTATAAAATTAAAATGTGAATTAGGAAGATTTATTACATTTCAAACTAAGTCTTCAAAGTTGTGTGTAACAATAATAAGCTTCAACGCAATCAAATTATTTGTCGAATTAGTTTTGGGGTTTAAAAGTGACGTAGTAGTCTCGACGTTTGCCTTTCGCTTTGTCTCTTACTCTCTTCCTCTCTGTTTTTTATTTTGCTGGCAATTTACTGTGCTTTTTTAAAGGCAGAACTCGAGCCAGGAGTTCGAGCCACAACTTTAGTCATAAATTTCTATAAGCAAAAAATAAATGAATAAAAATAAAAATGATGGTTAAAACAAGGACTCGTCGTGTGACTGAAACATTTCCACTGAGTTTCTACCTTTTTGAATATGGAGTACTCTCTAAAAATGGAGTTTGCATCTGAAAATAGTCTTGAGTGACTGGATACTTTAAGTTGATTAAATGAGCCAGTTCAATGAGTTTTCCTGAATCCATGATATGGAGTTGACTGAGACTTATTTTGTGTTAAGTGTCAAGTTTTCAGTTACGCCACGAGTCCTTTTTTGACCGTAATTTACATTGTTATATTTATCATGTTTATTTAATTTCTTTTTGCTTATAGAAAAATTATCGAAGTCCTGACATATAAGAGTCGACACCCTCAGGGTATTAAGTGGGATCATGTGAAGTGCGGGCGCAAGTCTATGATACATGATAATGGTGGTTTAATTTGTCTAATTGTGCCAAGGGATCCCGATCACTTTGTATGAATCTCCACTCGACCAAGAGATTTGATTGTGGGTTTATTATCTCGGACCTTTTATCTGGCGTTTTCAAAAGAGGGTTCAAAGTAAAAAGGACAATGACCAATTCGGCTTGTCGCTGCGACGTTTCTCTCGACGTTTAGCAAATAACCTCTGTGAGAAGTAAAGAATTCTGCATGTTTGTATGTTTGAATTCAAATGAAACACAAATATATTTCAAACCCCCTTATATTTTCAATAGCCGTGATAAAATGTTTAATAAAAAAGTTCTAAATAGCTCACATTAATCTTAAGAAGTCTTAGTAGAGTCAGAAGGCTGATTAATATCATATTTCAAAGTTAGGAAGTTTTGGTGTATTTTCTTTCTTGCGATTCTGACCGGTTTTCTCGCCACTTGTCTAAGTGCAACTTTATTCTAAATTTTGACTTTTAGCGCTTTTCTGTATTATCTCTAAAAAGGCTCGAGAGAATTTTTTTTTAAACCTCATCATATAATCTTCATGACGTTTATAACAATATCTGAAACTTTCATTAAGATTGATTCACTGCAACACCTTGAAATTTCAAGAGAAACCTAGCCAAAACCTTATAAATAGAGAGAAAGCCGTTTTGTAACCGCGTGAGACGTGTTTCTTTTTAAGACGGTAGGTTGCGTGATTGATCCTGACATTCCGAGATCGAACGTTTCTTGTGTTTTGTTTGCTTGGCTGAAGTTAACAGTTGGTGGAGAAGCGCGAGCTCGAATCCTGGCAGTCGAGTTTGTGTGCTTTTTCTCTTTCTTTCTTTTATTTTTCTTTCCTTTCAACTTTTTAGCATTTTTTCTCCTTTACCTTAACCTTTATTAAGTTAGTAAAGCCGGTGAGGCATCACACCAACTGTTAAAAAAAGACATATTAATGAGTTGGCTAGTTCGATCAAACGCACGCACTCACACAATCAAGGGAGGTGCGAAGAGACGCGAAAAGGCAGAAAGGAGACAGAGAGCAGTTCGCCGTTTCACTCGAGGCGTTCATTTAGTCTCGAAAATGATCTGTTTCGTTCCGTATTAATAATCCCTAGAATTGTAGCGTTCAGCCAGCGTTTTTTTTATCCTCTAGTGTTACGATAAAGAGTGACGCTTCATTTGAGTTTAGCCAAGTAGCACAGGTTATATACCCCTAAAAATCCCAGACAGATTTTCGACACAGTGCGTCTGCACAAATTTACGAAGCTCTACCCTCGTTTCTAGGGCCCTCTCTCTTCCTTCTTTCTATTTTACCTCGTCCGCTGTTTCAATGTTTTTCTACGTAATGAGGAGAGTAAAAACTCAATAGAAGACTGTTTAAACGTGACATGTTTTCGTACTTTCACTGCGCTTCAGTGGAAAAGAGATGTGAGTAAAGAACCGTTTCAGTTTATTTTGGAAACGAGTTATCGATGACTTATCAAGTATTGGTGTATCAGCTGTGTTTCAATTTTAGCCTTGCTTTAATAACAGTAATAAATGGACCGGTAAAGCGAGTGCTCCTTCAAATTGGCGCCAAAAAAGGCGGGGCTCAGACGCGCGCATGCTTTCCTGTTTAATTTATTTCTTTGCGCTATTTTCCATAAATTATATTCCGCATAATTATGTCATTCCGCAACCCATGCCTCATGCCATTTAGCCTGAGATCATGCCCTCTCCCTATTATCCTTTTATGTCCGTGGACATCCAAAGTATCGAGTTAGAAAGGGAAGGATCATTCATAAAAAAGGAAGCATGCCGAGTAGGTGAAACCAGTGGTAGCGTCGCCAATTGTCGGCTGTTTTCTCAAGCTAAGTAGCATAAGGAAAAATTACTATACTGATCTCCTATTTTTAACATCAAGGAAAAAATCTGTTAGGAAGAAGGAGAAATCACTTGTAAGCTCGGAAAAATTCCAATCTCTGAGTGAGAATCGAACTAACCACCCTCCCAGTTCTAGTACGGATGCTCTAACCACTACTGGAGGCTCCAACCACTAATCTACTAGAGGCTCTATGGCGAGAAAGGTTGAAAATCAATTTTTATTACGCCAGTCAAACAGGACCTGTATAACGGGGACTTATATACTGGACATTTCCAAGAAAATAAAATGCAAGGGAAACGTAACGAAAGGAAAATCCATCCCCCTCCCCTCATTACTTTAAAAAAAGAACAAACAAACAGAAAAAGCAAAAACAAAACAAAACAAATCCTTGGTCTCGATTTCTAATGTCGGTGATCAACTCTTGCTCGGCCTCGTTCTCAATTTTTCTCAAACTTCCGCTGGTCTTCAACAACGTTCTGATCTTCCGCGCTGACGTTCTGATCTTCCGTTGTAACTTGTTTCTTCAACAACGTGCATTCGTGATTTTCTTCAAATCAGGAAAGGTAAGTGATTTTTACAGTATGCGTGATTTTGTATATTGGTAGTTTGTATCTCGTGAAAAAAATCAGCGTTGCTTGTATTTGATTTCCACGAATACCTTCAACGTCGTTTTTTGTCAATTCAGTAAGTGTTCTCGAAAACAATAAAACAAATTGTTAGATTTCAACAAGTAGTGTTAACAGAGCAAAAATTTGCTTAATTATAGTTCAAACAAGATTGAGAGAACTGAGTTATTGATTTTGAAAGAACCTCGTAGATTTCTCAAGGAAAATTTTATAGCTTTCACATAGTCATGAAGTG